GAACCCTGATCTACTATGGGTTCCATTTAACCCATCAAATGTGTGTTGTGAAACATAGCTGCTTGGTTCCGTTAAAGCCTTCCATCCTCTGTTTGTCAAGTTCACTAGGTTTTCTCATTCTTTTTTCGCATTCCATTCCCAAGTTTTGATCTACCTGTTGTATCTATTCTTTATGGGTTTTTTCAAAATTTGGGAGTTGATTTACAATTTGATTGTATTCATGTTGGAGTTTGATTCAGGTTTGATTGAGATGATATTTGCTGAGTTTGATGAAACCCAACAAGTAGGTTCAACGAAACCTAACAGTTGGGTTCAATGACCAAGCAACTAAGTTCCACCGAACCCAGTAGTTGGGTTCAACGATCTAGATCTACTAGGTTTGATTAAACCTAGCAATTGGATTCAACAGGATCCAAATTATGTTGGATTCAACCTCAGCTGGAGCAAAGAGGGGAAGAAGATGGATTGAGAGGGAGATAAGGTAACGACATGGCTTTATTGTTTTTTATTTCTTTTTATTAAAAATATAAATATTTATCTGATTTGTCATTTATTTGTCCACGTAACTTAATATAAGACATGTCATTGTCATGTCATCAAAAGAATTAAAAGAAAATGCCATTATGGATTTATTTAACGACCAGATCATAATTAACTGACGGATGGATTAAAATTGTATAGTTTTCAAAATTGAGAGATTAAAAAAATATAAAAAAATAGTTAAGGGATGAAAATTGTGTAATATTATAAAGCTGAGGGACCAAAATTAGCATTTAACCTTTTTTATTAGCTTGCCAACATTTTTTGAGAAAATTAATGTCTTATTCGTTCAACAACATTTAGTGGCTATACCTCTTTAAAAATATGTACATTAAGATATAAAACCTTAAACCTTACACTCAGATACAATTAATTCTTCATTTTCAAAATTTTGAGGTGTATTTCCTCTTCTTGGCGGGTTTCAAGCTGCCCTTCACAACTTGTTAAAAAAAAAAGAAAAAAAAAAAGAAAAGAAAAGTATTGTCTTATTCTGTGGGTGCAGTTGGGACGTCCAATGTTCTGTACTGTAGTAGTTTCCATGTGAGTATCAATTCGAGAATTATGACTGATACTTAATTAGCTGTCAGTCTCTTTAAATTTTCGGAAAAGTTTTCCTAACTTTTTTTTTTAGGTGAAGTTTCTTTAACTTATATTTTTATATTTGTGAAATGTATTTTTTATATTATTTTATATTAAATAATATAAAATTTTTATTAAATTTATTATTAATATCTTGTAAATTATTTAAATTAAATATTTAATTAAATAAATATTAATTTTTATTTTTAATATATTAATATAGTAAATATAATAATTATTTAATATTCAACATGATATAAATTGTAAAATTATAATTGCACAATATATAATTTTTTTTTCAATTATGTTTTAAAGGAAAAATAAAAAATCTAAACATCATAACCTTAAAAATGTTTAGATATCTAATGATAAAAATAATATAATTATCATGTTATATGATATTATAAATTTATAATATAATATATTGTTATATAATTAAATTTTTTTACATAAAAATTTGTTTATGATATTTTATAAATTTATTAATTTAATATTACATTATAATTATAATATTATAATCTTATATTATATAATATTATAATTATAATATACAAGCCTAATAATACTTATATAATAAATTTAATGAAATTGTGACTCTTACTATATATGACATAAGACTATTTAATAACTATAATTTGATGTATTAAGAAATTTCAAAAATTTCCTTTTCTCTTGTTTTAGTTTTTTGGTTTTTTTTTTTAAATGAGATTGGGAAAAATTATGACATTTTTTATAATTATAATATTAAAAAATAATAAAAAGATTAAATTACTTTTACTAAGTCAATATATAAAAAAATCATTTATTAAATATATTTAAATAATTTTTTAAAAAAATGATAGTTAAAACTTAAAAGTATAAGGAGATTTTAATTTTTGCTTTTCCCGTTTTAGAAAATCAAATCCAAAATTTGTTTTTTGCAATTTTGGGATGAATTTTTACTTCCCTCTCAACGTTTAAATACCGACTGCAAACTGCACCCCTCAATCCTTCAACTAACACGCAAATCTGCCGCCAAATCCTAAAAAACCACCGAAATCCACCGCCGAAATCAATGCTCCGATGACCAACTAACTGACCAACGCACCTACCTACTTCCCTGCAAATTTCACAGTCCACAAATGGCTCTCAAGAACCGAACGCCGCCGAGTCCGAGTCCGCCGCAGTCGCCGCCGGATCTCAAGCACCGCGTCATCATCTGCCTCAACAAGCTAGCCGACCGGGACACGCTGGCACTCGCCGTCGCCGAGCTCGAGTCAATCGCTCTGAACCTCACGCAGGATACGTTCTCTCCATTCCTCAACTGCATCCATAATACGGATGATTCCTCGAAATCTCCCGTCCGGAGACAATGCGTCTGTCTTTTGACTTTACTTTCTCACTCGCATGGAAACTCGCTCTCGCCTCATGTGTCGAAGATGATTTCCATCGTCGCTCGCCGCCTCCGAGATTCCGACTCCGCCGTCCGATCGGCGTGCGTGGAGGCGACCTCCGCCATGTCATCGCAGATCACTAGGCCTCCGTTTTCCGTTATTTCGAAACCTTTGATTGAACTTCTGGTGGGGGACCAAGACGTGAATTCGCAGATCGGAGCCGCGTTGTGTCTGGCGGCGGCTATTGAGGCGGCACCGGCTCCCGATGTCGAGCAATTGAGGAAGGTGTTGCCCAGGCTCGGGAAGTTAGTCAGAAGTGAGGGGTTTAAGCCTAAGGCAGCTGTGATTGGGGTTATTGGTAGTGTTGTTGGCGTTGGTAGTGCAGGCAGTAGGGGAGTTTTAGATTGGTTGGTGCCGGGTATGGTGGAGTTTTTGAGCAGTGAGGATTGGACGGCGAGGAAGGCAGCGGCAGAGGCGTTGGGAAAGGTAGCAGTGGCAGAGAAAGAGCTGGCGCCGGAGTATAAAGCCACATGTCTAAAGGTTCTGGAGAATAGAAGGTTTGACAAGGTATTTCCTTTAGGCTTTAGTTGGGTTATTCTTCTAAAATTAGGGGAAAAAGAAAAGAAAAGTTGGATTCATACATTTTGATTTTGATAATCTTGATATTACAGGTCAAGGTTGTCCGGGAGACGATGAATCATACTCTGGAGTTGTGGAAGGAGGTTCCAGGTCTTTGCGAGGACGTCCCGGTGTCACCTCTGTCTAAGTCATCTTCAAAAGGTATTTGGATTTCCGGTTCATGGTTTTGGCTCTATATATTTATTGGAGCTTGTAATTTCCTGAGCTCATATTCATTCAATAACAAGAGGAAAGTGTTTATTTGGAAAAGCATGTCAAGGTAAAAAAATGAATCTTATTTCCAGATATTAGTACTTGAGCCTTATTATGTTCCTATCGCCATATTTATGCTTATTTATTGTTTTCTGGTGGAGACAGATAATGGTAGCATTGGATGCTTTCCTTCTGTTGCCCAAAATTCCAATGGCGTTGGTTTTAGAACTCCTCGGAAAGTCATCCCCATGAGTAGGTCCCCCCCATCCAACAGTTCCTCTGTGGCTGTGACCAATGTTCAGAGCAAGTCGCTTCTGAATAGTAAAGACGGGACTTCAAGCTCATCAATTTTTAGTAGGTTGGACCACAGAAAATCATCTGATTGTAAAATTGAAATTGCTAAGCTACAGTCTCCCTCTTCAAAAGGCCAAGGTGAATATATAAGAAGGATTGACCATGGAGTTAAGGAATCGGGACAGAATGGGGACAACAAAAATCCTAGGCCAGAAATAAAACACGTACTCTTCAGTAAGTCCCAAGATGAAAAAGTTCATAAATTTGGTGGTTTCAGGTCTGGGTCTCGAGTGGTTCCATATCAAGATGATGATATCTCGTTTGTTGGCATATGCAATGCGAGTGAAGAGGTTTGTGACAACAGCCATGATGACATTGAAAATCTGTCTTTGATCCATGAACAACTTGCTCAGATTGAAGACCAGCAGTCCAGTTTACTAAACCTCCTCCAGGTAAGCTTAACCAAGTTTTCCTTTCTCGCTTAATAGTTTCCATTACTCCAAGTTTCCAACTTCCGTGGAGTAATGTTAATTTCTTTTGATCAGTGTGACCATGCATACCCTTTAAAGTCCTTGGTTATTTATATGGTGCCATCCATGAACTTAAATTCTTTTAGAGCTTGGTCTTGCTTGCCTTTTGTTCTGCTATCATTCTGATGGGAACAGCTTGTCTGCTTACTAGCCTATGGGGTTTTCCCAGGATAGAGACGAACCCATGGTAGATTGGTTTTCCCTACAACTTGCTTGTTGCTTGTTTTTAGCTTGAGTCCCATTTCGGTTTTACCTATGATCAATTTTACGTAATCAATATGATTTGTCATCAAATATCATTGATGCATTCACTGATAGCTTTACTCAACAACTTTTTTCTAGGCCAGATTTCCTTTCCTTGTTATTTTATTTTTCATTCATAAACCCTGTTGGGCTAATACTGATCCGTTCTTTACTTGAATTTAGAAATTCATTGGAAGCTCCCAGAGTGGGATTAGTTCTTTGGAGACACGTGTGCATGGTCTAGAGATGGCTATCGATGAAATATCTTATGATTTAGCTGTATCCAGTGGAAGGTTTCCTAACACTGATTCTGCTAGAAATACATGCTGCAAGCTTCCTGGTACAGAATTCTTGAGTCCCAAGTTCTGGCGGAAAAGAGAAGCTCGGTTTTCTACTTCAAGGTTCTCTTCTTCTGGATGCATGCATATCCTAAATGATATAAATAACACACCTAATAAGGATTCTGGTGAGGAAACACATAAGCAAGTCTTCCAGAGATTTCAGCACCAAGCAAGGGATGAATTTGCTGTTAGCCCCAAGGTAAACGTTTGCAGCGACCAAGGGAAGAATTCAGGTTTCTGTTTGAATAGAATGTCAAAGAGCATCTGTCAGGATGCCAAGAGAGTTCAGGTTTTCAATGCCAGCAGTTCTGACGGGGCTTCACCTCTTACTTGTACAGCATCAACCTAAGCAGGAGGTAATGGATATTTGGCCATAACATTATTGTGCATTTATGCTTTTTAGACTATATTTTACAATTTTTCCTGTAGGTGAGTAACAAAATTCTAAGTATATGGATAGGGTATTTACATTGCACATTTGCACTTCCTCACTAAAGTCCTCGAAATATAATGAAAGTGGCTCAAACTGCAAACTGCAGCCCACATCAAAGCTTGATCCTATTAGTTTTTGCTTCGGATTTTAGCTTTGTTCCGGTTACCTCTCATGCATTGAAAATGTGATTGACTAGACCAACTGTTTGATCTCTTTTTCTTTGTTTATCAGGTGGTCTGCTTAACCAGAACCAAACTTAGAATTTGTTTCGAGGACCAACATAATCTTTGAGATGTACAGGCCTGCACCTTGAACCACCAGACTTCAAATCGCCACGATACAGGGAAGCTAGTCATGGATCAATATTTGATGAAGAGTTACATCCCTTCGGTCCATTACAAGACATTGTAGGTTTCAGTCTCTGATTTATACTTCTTTGTTTAATGGTCAGAGTTAGCTTTTCTAATGCAATACCAGAGCCAGAACAAAGTCGTAGCATGTATACAAGGTCTTGAAATAAAATCATTTAGCCATCACTAATTTAGATGCTGCTTCAAGGAGAGCCCTCATCCATGCACAGAAGGGAAGCCTTTGTGAACCCCTTTCCGGCCTGTACTCGGTTCTTGTGTAAGGTATATAATCTTTTAATTCTATGGGCATTGTATATTCAATTGGGAAATTTTTTTTAGTGGTCAACGTATTTCTATATTAATTAATGCATATCTCCAACTAAATTTTTTTACCAAACCATCATAAAATCACCTCACCTTCACTTCATACGTTCAGAAAAAATAAATTGAAACTTTTATGTAATGTAATGCCCTCATGTGGTATAAGGAGGCCCAAGATATTGTTGCCTCGTTGCTCCGAGAAGATGTTATCTCTTCTAAAGAGAATGTCACCTGCAAATTCTCGTTTCTTTTCCAAAGAGGATGTAACCGAATGTATATATTAATTGAAAGCAACAATTCCTCATTTCCTAATTCATTCCCCATTTGATGTTATGAAACCTAGTATTTCTTACTTTTATTGAAAAAAAAAAATTAGCATTACACCGTTAAAGTAGTTGATGGTAAAAATTAATTTTTTAAAAATTATTTATTAAAGATAATAAAAATAAAAGTATAATAGTTTATAATGTATTTGGTTTGAGGGAAGGAAATGGTGAAAATTATTCTATTTGTTTAGAAAATTTTGAAATAAGAAAGGACCGCGGAGTCCTTTATTTTATTATTTACTTTAATTATTTTACTTATCCAATTGAGAACTAAGGAGGCGAGGGAAATGAAAAGATATTATATCATTTTATTTCCCTCCCCTGCTCTCCCCTCCTTTCTCCCACTATCTTTAAACTAAATATATTTGTTTATACCATAAATTACAAAAATTTAGGATCATGTCACGTGTCAAAAATTTTTAGATGGATAGAGTAAATTAAGCCATGTCAAATTCATGATTTTAGACCTCATAACAGATCACCTATCATTTTGGCAAAAAATAAGAGATAAAAATAAGATTTTACTGTGTAATTATCTCTTTGAGGCAAAAAAGGACTGTTTGAACTAAAATATAAGAGAGGATTGCAGTTAAAGAGAGGTTTTATCTGATAAGGGCATAGGTGGCAAAAATTTGGAAAGAGATCAGACTAAGTCAATAGGTGAGTTGTCCCACTATCTCAAGAAACCACCCACAACTTTGTAACTGCAGAAAGTGGGGGGTTATTGTCGACCAAAGGAGAACAAAAAAGAAATTTTGGAAGAGAGAACACACGGCCAGCCCTACTCAAACATCTGCAAATTTTCAGACTTTACTTTCCCTGCAAATTGCTTTCAGATTTCAAATTTCAGCACAATCTCCAATAGATTTAGGTTGTTTTTCATCATCACAGTAGATAGATTAATTCATGTATTCAGTTCAACAATTTCCTTTCATGTAATGAACTTTAATCTTTCAAGTTTATGCAAGGTATTGTTCTCTTTTTATTTGCAATTAATTTAATGTTTATAATAAGTAGCATTTTATTCAATGATTACTTATGTGGTGTTCACATTT